CGGGAGGGTTCCCCGAACCCCGCAGCCGTGCGCAGGCGCGCTCAGATCCCGCCCACAAATGAATGACGTCAGATCCAGGAGAGTTTATTGAAAGGAAGCCGATACAAGCCCAGGGAGCCAGGATCATGTCCCTCCTCCACAAGAGGATTCGGGGTGCTCGGAGATCTCATATCCATCCCCCTTAACTGACAGAGCAAGAAACTGAGGCTCAGACGACAAGGGCCGGGCTAGGGTCCCGCCGCAAGCCCCGGGGTCTAGGATTCCAATCCATCTCCGGCCGAGCCCTCCACAGACGGCCCGGGGGCCTGGCACTCACCCAGCTGGCGCTCCGCAGCGGGGACCCCCGGGCCCGGTAGTAAGGCTGGCCAGGGGCCTCCCTCCCCGCTGTCCGGAGGCTCAGCAGGGAGGGTCTCCCACACCGTCAGATCTACCGGCCGGAAGGGCCTTGGGGAGCGTCTGCTCCAGCCCCCGCCCCCGCCCCCGCCCCCGGCGCGGGGGCCTGGCACAGCTGCCAGGATTCGAAGCCAGGACCTCCGCCTCCCGGGCAGGCTCCGCGCCGCGCTTCCCTCCCCACCTAGTGGCCCCCGAAATGCTGCGCCAGCTCCCCGGCGTCGCGGAAGCGCCGGGGGCACAGCGGGCACGCGTGGCACCGGCTGCCCCCGGGCTGGTGCACGGCGCGGTGGCGGGACAGGTGGCTGGACCGCTTGAAGGCCTTCCCGCAGGCCCCGCAAACGAAGGGCTTGAGCTCCGAGTGGGAGACGCGGTGGCTCTGCAGCCTGAGGGCGCTGTCGAACACGCGGCCGCACTCGGGGCAGCCGTGGCGCTTCCGAGGGGGCGCGCAGCCCGCGCCGCGCTCGCCTCTGCCGGCCTCCCCCGCGGGGCCCGGCTCGTCCTGCACCAGCGCCGTGTACGTGTAAGGGACCCCGTTGGCGTCAATGAGCAGGAACCGGCCCGGCCTCGGGGGAGGAGGGGACACGGGCGAGCCCGGACGGGCCGCCTTCGATGGAGGGGCGTCCATGGCCTTCTCCGGGGAGGAGGAGGGGTGCCGGGGGCAGCAGCTGCATCAGGACGGAGCGCTGGTGCCCAGGAGGCCTGTTGGGGCAGACAAAAGACCACGGAGAAGGGCTTAACGGCCTCCCTCCTGGCCTCTGCTTCTACCCTCGTGGGACTGCATCGCCCCTAAGGGCAGTCACCCACGATCCTGGTGCCTTTCTCTGCGGGCCGGCACCCAGAGCTTCCCCTCGGGCCCAAGGGCAGCTCTCCGTCCTTAAGCCCCACCTACCCTGGCTAGTCTGGACCACTCGGCTCTCTGCACCCCCCTGCCCAAAGCCACGGTGTTTTTCTTTCCCAGGGTTTCTGCTATGTCCCTTCCAGACTCCCCGGTGCCAAAGGGGCAGAGTCTTCTCATCGTGTCCCCTTTTCTGTGATCTCCAGGATGGACTCCCCCATGCCCAAGGGCTCAGCCCAGGCATGAGGGTTACCCTTGCTGAGTAGGGGGGCCAGGGGGTGTGGAGCTGGCTGGGACCTAGACAAGCAAGGAAGGCAACTGAGGCCCGACCCAGCCCAAGGTCACCCAGTCACTACAGAGCTGGCGCCATGTTCAAGTCCTTCAAACTGGGCCCTCTTTTCCTTCTGCCCCCACGGAGCCCCACGCTCCTCTAACTGGAACCCTGGCTCTCCCAGCCCCTGCACTTCTTGCATCCTGCCCACCTTCACTCCATTCCACTACTGATCTAGTGTGCTCTGTCTGTGAGAGTCGGGCCTCCTCTTCCTTGGCTTTCCCCTATCCTATGTCCCTCTGACTCCATCGTCTCCCTCTCTAAAGAGCCTCCCCAACTTTGACCCCCTTCTGTTCCCTGAATGACCACTCAGCACAAGGCCTTTCTAGCTAAATCCTTCCCAGCCCCAGGGTTTTTCTCCCCTAATTCCCAACTATAAGGCCTCCTCAGGTGGTCTCTCCCCACTTCCCTCTCCAGGGTCTCCCTATCCCTTCTTCTGACACCCCCACATCTCTCTCCCCACTCTCCCTTTTCTAGAGGCCTCATTTTTCTCTACAGCCTCTAAGAGCTGGGATGACCATCCTTCACCACTGACTCAGCTCTCCTCCACTCTTCTCCCTCCTTCCCATCTGCCCCCAGGACCACAAAAGGAGCTTCCTTTCCCAGGAGTGGGCCCTACTGGCTCCTGGGCCTAGCACCGGACAGGAAGCCACTGCTATGGGACTGTGCAAGAAGTGGAATCTCCCCTAGTTCCAATGTGAACTGTGGAAGATCAGAGTCCGGGAGAGCAGGCTGGTGGGAGTGCCCATCTAGGAATCAATCAACAAGTATTCATTAAATACAAGGCACTTTGTGTAACAACAGCAAACTCCTCAAAGCTCAGTTCCACACACTCTCAGAATCATCCTAGAAAATCAGTAAGACTTAGAGATGTTAGGCCTTAGAGAGCTGCAGAAGTAGAAACCGAAGCCCAGAATGTGATTGGCCTCAGTTGCCACAACCGGTAAGTGGCAAAGACGGCCTTCGGATTTCAAATTGGATGCTCCTTCCATTTGAATATAAACTGTTTGAGGGCGGGGATTATCTTTGCTTTTGTATTTGTATCCACAGTACCCGGGCACATAGTAAGTGCTTAATAAATGATCTTTCATCCACTCTACTTTCTGAATGTACAGCTATGGTCACATCATTCCACTATCAAAAACACTTCAGTGGCTGTCCATGACCTACAGGGTAGAATATAAACTCCTGATCCTGGCATTCAAGGCTCCCCACAACCTGTATCCAAGTTAGCTGTCCAGCCTTATTTCAATTTTGCTCCCCTCGCATCCTGTATACTCCAGCCAAATGGCACTTTCATCCAACGTCCATCATGTCTGGCCTTATTTCCATTCTTTGTTTTCATGTCATCCCTCAAAATCAATCCAATGATTACTTATTAAGTACTTATGTACCATGCAGTTTGCTACATGCTAGTGCTGGGGATACACAGACAAAAACAAAAGAGTCCTTGCTTTCAAGAAACTTACATTCTGTCACTATATGCCTAGCATGGCCTCAGCAAGGTGCTGAGGTGCAAAGGTGCAAACAAAAAGAATCTTGATTTGGAGTCCCAGGATGTGTTTTTGAATCCTGAAACTGTTACTTAATATCAGTGTCTTCAAGGAAGTCAGGTAACCTCTCTGAAACTCAGTTTGCTCATCTGCAAAATGAGAGTGTTGGACTAGATGAGCTCTAAGGCCACTCCTAGCTCTACACCCATGTTCCTATGACCCCGTGACTCTCCTTCCCCTACTATGGTCTGCTAAAGTCCCACTCTTCCTTCAGCGCTCAGCTCACAGGTCACCTCCTCCAAGGAGTCTTCCCTGATCCATCAACCCAAAGGGCTTCCTCCCAGCCCACATGGGGCCTGGAGCTCCATGTCTGATCTCCCTTCTCCTTTGCTCACTCCTTACTTAGTCTGTCTTCCCTCCAAGTGGCTCTATACCCTCCCCCTCCATCCAACTGGGAGTGTCGGGAGGGCAGGAGAAGCGGGGATCCTAGAGCGAGGGTCCTCCAGGGTCTCTCAAGTCCCTCCACCTCTCACCGAAGTCTCTTCTTCCTTCTCCATCTCCCCCCGCCCCGCCCCCACTACCTTAACCTTCAAAGCCTCTCCTCCTTGCCCCTCGGTAGGCCGGCCCCAGCATCCCTGTTTACGCCCCTCCCCCCCCATCCTCTCTATCCCCCCTCTCTCCTCTCTATGCTCCCCTAGGTGGGGAGGGGTCACTCGGCCTCCAACCCCACCCCCACCGCAGCCTTTCCCTGGCCATACCCGAGACAGCTGCTTCTAGAGGATCCGCTGCTGGAGGGGACATTGGGCTGCGGGACACTTCTGGGCCCGCCCAAAAAGTGCTCCGGTTGGAAACCGATGCCCTCGGGAGCAAGATTCCGGGCTTCTTTGGGCTTAGACATCAAGGTTTGGCCCGCCCCACCCTCGGCCTCCCAGCAGAGGAAACTGAGACCCATCTCCGCGGGACTCCAGGACAAGGATGCTGGGAGTGCGCTCGGAGATCAACCCAATTTCCTCTCCTCCTTTTACAGATGAGGAAACTGAGGCCCCAAAAGCCTGGAAGTTCCCAGAGGGAGAGGGCTGCCTCACTTTTATGTAACAGTGCCTGATTTATAGTGACATTTACTAAAGGCTTATTTGATGAATTCGCGAATACATGAATGAATGAATGAACTGACGCCCACAGTCACACAGCTGAGAGATTTAAGCCTGGTGCTCAGAGCTGGAAGGAACCCCCAACCACATCTTGTCCAATGCTTACAGCAAAGAAGCCTCCATGACCACGTTCCCACAAATGGCCCTCAGGGAGGAGGGCGAGCCAAGGCATCCCATCCCGATTCAGAGCCGCAGCTCTCAGGGCATCAAGCACCTGGACTCCTGGATCTGCCCCCCCGCATGACCAGGGAGAACCATAGAACATCACCGTGGAAAATGAGCTTTGAGATCAAGGCTCAACTGATTCTTCTCCACATTAGAACATGGAAAGCCAACCGTATTGGCCAGCCAGGCTAGCTGAAGCAGCGGGGCACCCTAAGGGAGAGACAGGAAGCGGTATGTGCCAGGCAAGTCAAACCCCTACTACCACCTTGACAACCATCTCCCCCCAGACCCGATGGGGATAGCCCAGGACCCTGAGCCCAAAAGTCTTGGGAGGAGCAATGCCCAAACTGCCAGGCAGGCTTCCAGCAGGAAGGAAACCACCTTTCTCATCACCGCAAGCAACAACTACTGATTAGCTGCCACCAGCTGTCATGTGGGCATAGGAGTCCTGGGCATAGCGGTGTCCTTTATACCATTGGTCCTCTTTCCAGCCAAGCCCTCACATCCGGATGAAGGGACCAGCCACCTCCAGCAGCTGCCAGATGCAAGGCAGGCCAGCCCTGGGCTTGGGCACTCACCATTGTACAAGGATCTCACAGTGAGAGGACCAACAGGTAAGCCGATGGGATTTTATCAGTGGAAATGGCAGTGGAAAGAGGAAACATGGCCATCTGCTTTGCTGTTGCCCTCCAAAGACCATGAGATTTTCCCATCCATCCAGCATGAAACCTACATGTGTTGCCTCTCCAATTAAAATGGGAGCTATCCGTAGTCAAGAGTGAAGACTGTGACTGTGTTTTCATTAGGTATTTCCAGTGCCTAGCACAGTGATTTGCACCTAGTAAGTGCTAAATAAATGCTCATGTCCTTCATTCAATCATTTAATCAATCATAGCCGTTAGACTAAGTGCCAAAGCCCTTGGAATTTCCAGTGTTCCAAGGGAATCATCTCTGGATTGGCTGAAACTTGGTCATGCCTTAGGAGTCATCTGTAACATATCAAGGCAGTTTATAGCTGGAGCTATTCTAGAGGTGGGATGGAGTTTAATGGGAGAGAAGAAGCCACAGTATTGACCTCTGATACCCAATGACTTCAGTGCGAAGAGAATAAGTGAAGATGGTGGGAAATGATCAGAAATAAGGAACAAAGAATTGTAAACTATAAATAAGCATCTCGACGACGTGTCATGAATATTTTTTAAAAAGAAAAGCATAAGAAGGCATTGTTGCTCCTGGTTCTGACCCACACTGCCAGGGAGAACCATAGTTCAGACGTTACCATGGAAAACGAGCTTTGAGATCAGCAAGGCCCGGCCAATCCTTCTCCATATTAGGAGACAAAGCCAGGTGGTGGTGGTTGTCCTTCTTCCTCGAAGAGGATCAAAATTACATCACTATATTTGGATCAAGGTACAGTGTGTCTGGCTGTGGCGGATCAGACCAATATGAACCCAGAATGGTCTACCACAGGTCAGGCACAAACAGTCCCCATGAACATTTGGAGTGGAGATGTCTCTAAATGTGTGCATCTCACATTTCTTTTGAGCTCCTACAGTTCTGCTTTGCCCATAGAGCACAGAGCTTTCTTTGATGTGGGTGCACCTTGCTGAGTGGTCCTGTGCCAGTGTCTCCCATGTCTCACAATCGACTCCAAAGTTCTTCAGAGAGACCCTGAGAGTGTCCTTGTATTCTTCCTTCTGACCTCTGTGTGAGCTCCTGCCTCGTGTGAGTTCTCCATAAAATAGTCTTGTAGGCAAACGTCTGTTTGGCATTCTAATTTGGCCAGCCCATCAGAGTTGTGCCAAATTAGCCATGTGAAATCACAAAACCAGAAGAAATAAAAATGATTGTCAGTATTTCCTATGTATGCTTATATGCCAACAAAATGAGGTAACACATAAAACAATTGATTGCCTAAAAAATATAAAATACTCAGGGTTTGAATGCTGTGCAGTTTCCAACTTTATAGAGAAGCTTACCTGATGCAGATCAATTACAAATCAATCACCATGACAGAGACCAAAAGAGCCTAAAAAGCAGCTTAGTTAAACAATATTTTTTGACTCATTTAGTAAACACGAAAGCCAAAGGCAACTCTGATTTAGACTATATATTTTTAATAAAATTTTACATTTTGTATATTTAATATTTATTATGTATTTATTGCATAAATCATATAAATTATTATATATTTTATAAAATTTTTGATAAAATTTAAAGATCTTACTGCAGTGGAAGATGATTAGAAGTGGTATTGCCTCATAATGACAGCTAGGTGGTGCTGCAGTGGATAGACCGCCAGACTTGGAGTCAAGAAGACTCATCCCACCAAGTTCAAATCCAGCCTCAGACACTACTAGCTGTGTGACCCTAGGCAAGTCACTTCACCCTATTTACCTCAGTTTCCTCATCTGCAAAATGAGCTGGAGAAAGAAATGGCAAACCACTCCAGTATCTTGGCCAAGAAAACCCCAAGCAGGGTCAGACACGACTGAAACAATTGAACAACAAATTGCTTCCTTTAAAGGAGGGAAGTTTTGGGTGGAACATGGAATGTGTAAAGGGGAGTGGTGACAAATAAGAATGAAAAGGTCATCCAGAGCCAAACTGTAAAGGCCTTTTAATATTCAAAGTTAGGGTTTTATATTTCATCCTGGAAGCCAGAGGGAGCCACTAAAGATTTTTCATCAGGACGGGTATGACATAGACCTATGTAAGGTAAAATTAGTTTTTATTTTGTTTTTGTTTTTTGTTTTTTTGGTTAGGCAATGGGGTTAAGTGACTTGCCCAGGGTCACACAGCTAGTAAGTGTTATGTGTCTGAGGCCAGATTTGAACTCAGGTCCTCCTGAATCCAGGGCCAGACCTCTATCCACTGTGCCACCTAGCTGCCCCCTAAAATTAGTTTTAAAAAGCTAGTCTAGGGATCCAATTTATCAACAGGAATTTATTAAAAACCTACAATGTGCCTAGAACCATGCTAAGCAAACATGACACAAAGATAAAAAAAGAAACAACTCCTGCCCTCAAGGAGTTTCCATTCTAAGGGAATGGATAGGGAATTTGTACCCAGAGTATACACTGTATACAAAGTATATATGAGCGCGCACACACACACACACACACACACACACAAAATGGATGCAGGGTTGTCTGGGGGTGGACAGCACTAGCAGCTGGGTTTCAGTAGGCAAAGCTTCATGCATAAGATGAATTTTGAAAAAAAAAACCAGGCATTCCAAGAAACAGGAGGAGCACATTTCCAGCCTACTATATGCATTAAGTACTGAGGATACAAAGAAAGGCAAAAGACAGTCTCTGCTCTCAAGGAACTCAAAGTTTAATGAGGGAGATAACATGCAAACAACCATGTAAAAGATAAATTGCAGGTAATCTCAGAGAAGGCGCTAGAATTAAGGGTGATGGTCAGTGACTTCTTGTAGAAGGTGGAATTTTAGCTGGGACTTGAAGGAGGCAGAGATCAAATTCATTGCCTCCCCCCCCCAACACATGCACAGCAAATTGGGGCCAGAAGTAAACAAGATGAATAGAACAGGTTGAATCATCTCTAGGACATTGCAAAGGTCTTTGAAACCCCAATTTTCTCCCTAAAACAAAAGCTCATTCTCTCTCTCTCTCTCTCTCTCTCTCTCTCTCTCTCTCTCTCTCACACACACACACACACACACACACGCGTGCGCACACACACACACATACACATACACACACACATGAGCCCCATTCTTTTTTTTTTTTTTTGGCTAGGCAATGGGGTTAAGTGACTTGCCCAGGGTCACATAGCTAGTAAGTGTCAAGCGTCTGAGGACGGATTTGAACTCAGGTCCTCCTGACTCCAGGGCCAGGGCTCTATCTTGTGCACTCATTCTTAAAAAAGCAGTATTCCATCAATGTTGTTGTATAGCTGGGCAAGTCATGGAAGATCTCCAAAAAAATAAAGAGTATCCCACAGAAAGCAGTGGTGACGTGAATTTTGGTCAGGAGTGGGCTGCAGCATAAGACAAATAAGGAACTGTGGCAAAAACGAGTGAAGGATCTCATTCATGATTGGGAAAGACCATGAACTGGCCATGTGACAAGAGGGGATAACCAATGAATTGCCCAGATGTTCCAGTAACCTCCTTGAGACGACAAGTGGAAGTAAAGACAATTTGTCCAGTACATTGAGTGGATCCTTGCTACTATCTTTAGGAAGGATGTGGACAAAAGAGCTCCATAGGGTGAGCAGGCTCAGATAGGCTAAGAGCAATGTCACTGGAGGGCACAGCCACATGGACAAGGCTATGGATCCATTGGACAATGAGTCGAATGCAAGATGTGCTGGGGAGTGGGGAGCCTGGAAGCCATAAGCCAGGAAAGAGATGATGAGGGCTTGAAGGTGGAGGTGTGAGTGGAGAAGAGAACAGGCAAAAGAGTTGTTGTGCAGTAGCTACTTGGTGTGTGGGGGGGGGTCACCGGAAGGAGGGTGGTACCCTCAACAGAAATGAGGAAGTTAGGAAGAGAAAGTGGGTGGGTTGAGTGAGAAGGTGGCCATTCCACACCTCTCTGTGTCTCAGACTCCTCTGCATTGGTGTTTAGCATGGTGCTTGGTACAGAGTTAGTATTTACTTTAGTAAACATATGTTGATCAATGTGATGGTTTCTCACCCAAGGCCCTCCATCTCCTGTCTCAGTGCCTTGGCACCATCCCTCCTCTACGCTTGAAGTTTGCTTCCTCTTCAGCTTTTCCTCTTAGAATCCCTAACTTCCTTGAAGACGCAGCACAAACCCCGTACCTTTCCTGATCCCCATTTACCACCATCCCTCACTGCCAGCCCCCCTCCCACTTATTACCTTGCATTTATTGTACATATATTATTTATGCATTCATTGACTCCCCGGATAGGAGGTAAGCTCCTTGAAAGCAGGGTGTCTTTGGGGGGGTGGCTGGGGACAGCCCCATCTCCTAGCACAGCATCTGACCCATAGTAAACCATTGACAAATTTCGGTTGATGAAGGAAGAGGGAAGCAGAGTGAAGGTTTCTAAGGATGGGGAGACCTGGGCATGTTTGGAGGCAGCCTAAAAGGAGACAAGCAGATAACAAGAGGGGAGGATTGAAAGGACAAGCTCTCAGAGAAGGGAGGGGAGAGCACGGGCTGCCTCCTCCACAAAGGACACGAGGCAGCAAGATGTAGAGGAGGCCGAGATACAGAGTGAGGAAAAGGAAGAAGGTCTGGAGACAGCTCTCACGGAGACTGGACTAGGAGTCCATCAGGGAAGAACACTAGGCTGCCAGGTAGTAGTTAGGAACCAGCATATGAATTTATACTGGAACTATCTCCATGTAATCAAAGGCTTCCTAAGCCGTGTGCTAGGGGCTGGGGATGTAGGCAGAAGTGAGACACGTTCTCCCCCAGAAAGCTTACAGGCCATGGCCAGTAGCAAATGAGGGCATGCAGAAGAGGATGGTTTTGGGTTTGATGAGGCGTGAAGGGCAGCCAGACAGCAGGCAAGGACAGAGGGGGGTGTATGGTTGAAAGTGCTGATAGTGGTTTCCATAGTGCAGCAGGAGGCAAGGGGGGGCGAGCAGGGCCGAGGCTGGGAGACCAAGAACAGGAAACACCTTGACAGAAAGTCCTTCAGCTGCCATGGAGACCAGCTAGTGAAGGCCAAGCCCTCCACTTTGCGGAAGAGAAATCTGAGGCCCAGACTAGGACAGGGACAGGTACCCCAATGATCTCTTAGGATTATCTAATCCAATTCCTTTATTTTTACAGATGAGAAAACTACGGCCCAGGGCAGGGGAGGGACGTGGCCAAGAGCATACAAAAGACTGATGCTTCCCTTAAATTAAATTCAAAGAGACCTTGGGGTGCCCAGTCCCAGGAAGGAATCACAATCAGTTCAGCAAGTCTTTATTCGGCAGCTGTGGTGTGCCAGGCACAGTCGGGGTGGGGCAGGGGGATACACAGAGGCATAAGGCCCCAGTAATAAATGGTTCCTCCATGGAGCTGGTCCGTCCTTTCAAAGTACTTCCTGTCTGTCTCTTTACCTTCACAGTATTGGGGAAAGACAGGGAGGACTGGTATCGGGTGCCCCCATTTTCCAGAGGGAGAACTGTGAGACCCAGGGCACAGCACTACCTCGTCCAAAGTCACAGGACAAGAGAGTGGCGGAGCCGGGTTAGACCCCTTGAGGCTCTGAGGCTGGGGTGGATGGAGGGAGCTCTCCATCTCATCGGGGTCAGTGAGGTGAGGCTTTCCGCTTTAGTGTCCACAGATGTGCTGAGCCAGCTCTCGGGCATCCAGAAAGCGGTGTGGGCAGAGGGGACAAGCGTGGGCACGGCTGCCTCTGGTACAGTGGGTGAGCCGGTGTTGGCACAGGCTGCCGGACCGTTTGAAGGTCTTGGCACACACCCCACAGACATAGGGTCGCAGGTCCGAGTGTGAGATTCCATGCGGCTTCAAGTAAAGGGGGCTCTT